GAAAAACGTGGGGGGGGGGGGGGGAGATGGTCATGCTGCCACAATCCCTTATCCTCAGTCTCCTCACAGGATCTTGGGCTAGCACACAGACATGCCCAGAGTGATTTTACTCAAACTGTAGCCAGCCACAAAGGACTCCAATGATGTAACAATTAGCCATCTGCAGGCCCAGAAATATAACCTTGTTTTACTATGATGTTTTTTCAAAGAAAAAAACAAAGTTTCCTTTTGTCCCTATAATCTTCACCTCTCTTCCATATTTAGAAAACAGATAGCTTCCCTGAGTCTAAATTCTTACTCCAGCCAAGCAATCAAACAATCTTATTAGTTTAAAACCATCCCATCTTTTCTACCATACATCCAACCCTCAACCATTAACTATATCCCTTCTTCTATAAATATAAGCCCTACTAAGCCAGATAGTTTTCAAATATCCTCCAAGACACAATACTTTCAACCTTGTTATTTTTAAGCAAGACAATTATAAACACAAATGGGAGTGCTGATGAAGACTAATGAAAAATGTTTGGATACTTCTAATATCTAAATGAAAACCAAGTGTGGGGAAAAAAAATCTTGAAACTGGGCATTTATATTCAAATTCAAAATGCTTTACCCCAGTGAATAAGCTCAAGAAAAAAAATCCTGAATAAGATGTTGTGATGTTTAGTTTTTCTTTAGTTTTTTTTTTCCATATACCAAAGCACATGAACATTATGTGAACTTCCAGTTTCAGTACCCTTAAGTGAAGGTGTACTAGAACACAACCATTTCATTTATTGAGTCGTAAGAAAGAAAAGTCACGACACATTTTTGCATAGAAAAATATGCCTTGACTTTTCCAACGACCCAATATATATTATTTATAGCTACTTTGGTACTCCAAGAGAAGGGTTGAATTCAAGTTTCAACAGAAACCATGTGGCCTGCGATGCCTAAAATACTTGCAATCTGGTTTCTCAATTCAATATTGAGAGTAATAGTCACGTATACAAATTTCTAAAACAGTTCTCTTATAAACATCCCATTTATTATTGGTTGACAGGAACAGTTATTGGTTGCAGACCTTTCTCTTCCCAATTTTACCCCCACTTAAACCAGATCAACAATATACATTTTGACAAAAGATAAACTGAGGTTCTACTTAAGATTTTTTTAAGGAAGGGTTCTATGGGTAAACAAAAGTTTGAAATTCAAAAATGTAGTTAATGAATAATATCTGGGCCACTCACTTTACAGAAATATATGGCCCAAAGAAATTACTAAAGTGCTTAAAAACCGAATCTCAAGGTTAGTGAAGGTACAGGTACTCCTTTTATCAGAAGTTCATTCAAAGTCCTTTTCAATCCTCTTGTGAGTCACCTCTCTTAGATGAAAATATATTTATACCAAAAAAAAAAAAAAAAAATTATTCCTATCCTTTCTCTATCCTCCTCTTCCTAAAAAGTAGGATTTCATCATTCTCAAATACTGTTATTAGTTTAATAAATAACCCTTCAGAATTAAACTTCCTTATGAAGAAAATTAAAGCCGTGAAGTACTACAAAATATACAGCATTAAAAGGTAACCAATTATCTAAAACATATTAACTGAAAATTCAATCATATCTTGTTTGGGATTCTATTTTAGGTAGGAGGGAGGATATTAGGTAAAGTACCATGTCACTTTGAATTGTTCATTTATATCCACATGATGACAGACTGCTCATTTCAATAAGAGGCATGAAATATATTTACCTTGGTAAACTGACTTTGGTTATTAATCAAAAGACTTGATGTCCAAGTCTTACAAATTTTTTCAAATATGTTTAAACTTTAGGGGGCCAGCAGGTGGCATAATGGTTAAAGCGCTAGACTCCCATACGGCCAACCATGGTTCAAGTCTTGGACCTGGCAGCATGTTTTCTTGCTTTCCCTCTCTCTGCCTTTCTAAGGTCAAAGTAACAATATTAATAATAATAAATAAAATAATTATTGTAAAATATAAACAAAATAAAATAAACTTTAGTTTTCCATAATATCAAAGCACCGTATGCTAAAAATAGAGAAATATAATTTAGTGAAATCCATTGTAAAATATAAACAAAATAAAATAAACTTTAGTTTTCCATAATATCAAAGCACCGTATGCTAAAAATAGAGAAATATAATTTAGTGAAATCCAGTTCCTAACTCACTACAAGGAATAACAGTTTGTATGTAACTGTTTTCTCAGGTTATCTCAGAGAACAGACAGTTCCTAAGGAGCAAAAGAGTAAACTAGTACTGATAAATCACTGAGTATCAGTAACGGGCCACCAATAATTCCAATTCCCAGGGAACATAAATTATCTTTAAGCCCATGAATTTGACACTAAAAGCTTTGCAATCTGCACATCTCATCTGAGGACAGATGTCAACTTACTTTTTCATTCTTGCTTTTAAAGCTAAAGTGCTAAATTTAAAGATATATTTAAAAGTAATGTTGGGGACCAACAAGTGGCATGGTGATTAAGGTGCTGGACATTCCCACATGGCTGACCATGGTTTGAGTCCCGGACCAGGTGGCTTGCTTTCTCATTTCCTCTCTCTCTCTCTCTCTCTCTCTCTCTGGTCAAATTAAAAAAACCCCCCCCCCTGGTAAAAAAAAAAAAAAAAAAAAAAAAAAAGTAATTTTAAAACCACTTTTCATAACATATGCTGTAAGTACGTATCAAAACTGAGTATTACTAGTAATGGGGAAAAGAAAAGCTGAATTAAAAAGTCATTCCTTTTATCACAGCTTAGTCTAGATAAAATACCCAATGGTATATGACATTATATCAACTATTTCAATAATTACTTAGAAGGGATAAAACAATTTAAGTATATTAAATCTTTCTTTTATTTGCAAATCTCACCTTTCTACTCTGCTACTGCCTCATAAAACGTTCCCTTCCCAAGGGGATTTAAGATTAAGGAAAAATATCCTCTCTGCCCTCCAATCCAGAATTAACTTACCTTTTATTTTTACATACAAAAAACACTTAAACTTCTCAGAGTCCTTTTTTAAAGGAGCATAGATTCTAGCTCTAACAGGAAAAATGGTCAAATAGTTTAACTGCTACCAAAATAGGGGGCTTTTCTCTACTGGTGTTAAACATATAATACATAAACTAACTGCTAACATAGCTTGTTCTAACATAATTTCTGTAAGATCTTAAGCCTGAAAATAAATTTTAAATCTCTTAACTAAATTAAATGCTAGAATTGAACCAACTAATGGCAAAAAATAAAAGAAACATAAACATCTGTATCTAAGTACTTACCTTGATCCTGTCATAGGACCTCTTCCATCCTTGTCATATCCCCCACGCCCTCTACCTCCTCCCTGTGACCCGCCATATCCTCTATTATCTTCTCCATACCTACTCACATCACGACGGTCATCTATAAAAATAAAAACATTAATACATAAACAAATAACCATTCTTATTTATTAAAAAAGTTTCATATAACAATCTTAAATTGTTCTTTAGGTCACATTAATTATGTCTTTTGGAAATGGCACAGAACTCAAACACAAGTCATTATAAAACTTTCTGAAATTAAATGAGAATTATTGGGTCATTGGCAAAGTCCTGACATTTTTCCTATGTTTTTCTTTGCAAAAACATGTCACAACTTTTCAAATAACCTAATATATCTGTATCAAATTCCATTCTGTTAAAAAGTTAAAAGACAGCAAATTAAGAATACAAAATACGTGAGTTAATACATCTTAGGTACAAAAACTCTAGTAACTTAAATAGAATCAAAACTTTAACCACAGCAGTTACTGCTTTCTTCACTTAAAAACCATTTAACTGCTTTCTTCACTTAAAAACCATTTAACTGCTTTCTTCACTTAAAAACCATTTAAATGCAGATCAAGCAGAAACATGAAATAATTAGAATTTCTACCTATGGGGGAAAAGTGAATTGTAAAACTATTTTGAAATTCATTTTTCAAGTTATTTAGTGAATGAGCTGCCATTTACATTCACACATATATACCCTTTCAATTACTCAGCAAATGTTTACTGAGCACTTACTATGAGCCAAGCCCTAGACAAGGCATTGAATACACAAATATAAATAACACAAGACTTTGCCCTTGAAGCTCATTCATGGCATGGACAGATTCCTAAGAATCAGTGATATATACAAAGCACTATGAAAAACAAGAGGAAATAGTGACTGGTCCTTATCAGATGAGGTTAGAGAATAATATAGAATAATCTCCCAAATCAAGTACACCACCATTAGATTATCAACATTTAATAAGACAACAAAGAAAATTCATGTAATCAGCCAAAAAGTCATGTGAAGTCCAGCTAAGTGGCACTGTGGTTAAGGCAGCAGGATCCCACATGTCCAGCAGCAGTTGGAGCCCCAGACCCAGCAGCTTGAAAAACACAAGCAAGGGGCCAGCAGGTGGCATAATGGTTATGGCACTAGACTCCCATGGCCAACTGCGCTTCCAGTCCCAAACCCTGCAGCTTGAAAACCAAGCCAGGTGCATGTTTGTAGGTGCCCAAAGTCCCAGAAAAATTGAAAAGAAGGGACTGCAGCATGGCTTAAGGGTTAATTTCTCATTTTCCTTCTCTTCTATGGCATGGTCATCCCCCTCCAGGGGGATGCCTTCTCTCTCTCTCACTCCCTAGGGGGATGCTCACTCGTAGGCTCTCTCTCTCTCTCCAGGACATACCCTATAGCAAAACTCAAAAGAAAAGTTACTAACCATTTGGGGGGGGTCTCCAAAATGTTCAGAAATGTAAATGTAATAAAGTAGCTTTGATAGCTTTGGGAGGTAACACATGTTCAAGATCGCCCCATATTTTCACAAGTGAAAACCTGTTGTGTCTTTTGGGACCAGCAGGTGGAGTGGTGGTTAAGGCGCTGGACATTCCCACATGGCCAACTGGGGTTCTAATCCTGGACCTGGTGGCTTGCTTTCTTACTTCCTCTCTCTCTCACTCTCACCCTCTATCTCTCTCTGGTCAAATTAAAAAGTGAATGAATGGGACAAGCAGTTGGCGTAATGGCTGTATCGCTGGACTCCCACGTAGTCGACCGCGGTCTGTGTCCCGGACCCAGTGGCTTAAAACTCACACCGGGCGCGTGTGCATGCATGCCCAAGATCCCGAGAGGAGAACAGAGGAGAAGGGATTGCGGCGTGGCCATCCCCCCTGGGGGGGTGATTTCTCGCTTTCTGTCTGTCTGTCTGTCTGGTGAGCGCACGCGCCCTATAGCAAAAAAAAAACCTCTCCCCCCAAAAAAAGTAAATGAATGAATAAATAAATAATAAAAATATTTAAAAAAAACCCTGTCATGTCTTTTAATTCAAAATTCAACAATTAATTAATTCAGTGAGGAAAAGAAGAAAAATAATAAAAGTCAATATATCTTACCTTGTGTGTGGTGGCTGTAATTTTCCCTTTGTGAATGATAAGACTGCTGGTTTTGATTATAGGAATCATGTTGCTGATCATAATTTGACTGTTCATCATATGAGCCTTGATGTTGATCATAGCCTGACTGTTGATCATATGAATCTTGTTGACCATAGTCTGATTGGTCATACGAAGGCGCTCTTCCACCTTGACTAAACAGAAATCGAGAACTTGAGAGATTTTACAGGATGAGTATGTTAACGTTACCAAGTTGATTAAGCTGAAAAGGCAAGTCCAAACCATATGCATTAAAATACTACTTTCTCATGGTATTTATTTACCTCTTCTATCTACAAAGTCTCCTTACCACCAATGGAATGCCCTTCCAAATACAATTTCATTATCACTGAAGAGGTGCCACATTGTAAGAAAAACTAGGGAGGACAGCAGGTGGAGTGGTGGTTAAGGCACTAGACTCCCACATGGCCAACCACAGTGTCTGAGACCTAGCTGCTTGCTTTCTCACTTTCCTTCTCTCACTCTCTGTCCCTCTCTGGTCAAATTAAAAAAAAAAAAAAAAAAAAAAAAAAAAACCTAGGGCCAGCGGGAGGCATGGTGGTTAAGGTAGTTGGATCTCACATAGCTGGCTGTATGGTTCAAGTCCCAGACCCAGTGGCTTGAAAAACATATGGATACATGGATGTGCACACTCAAAATTCTGATAGAAAGGAGAAGGGGTTACAGCATGGTCATTCTCTCTGGGGGATAGGTGACTTCTCACTTTTTGTCTCCCTTCCTCTTTCTCCCACCAGCAAGCACACATGACCTATAACAAAACTTTTTAAAAATGCAAAACAAACAAACAAAAAAAAAAACTGTATACACCTTAAAAATGGTAGTAAAGCAAGAGATAACTCAAAAAAAAAATTTTACGGGAGATTTTTGTTATAGGGCTCGTGCGCTCACCAGAGAAACAGAAAGCCAGAGATACAGAAAGCGAGAAATCACCCCCCCGGGGGACTGCCATGCCACAATCCATTCTCTCAGGATTTTGGACATGTATGCACACATGCCCAGCATGAGTTTTAAGCCACCAGGCCCAAGACTTGAACCACAATAGACTATGTGGGAGTTCAGCGACACAACCATTATGCCATCTGATGGTCCCATGGAATGATTATAATTTTAACTATCTCCTTTCATTAAAATAAAAATGCTACAACAGTGACGTCTGATTATTTAATAAACATACCACTGCCATGAGTCCCGAGTCTTTTAATGGTCCAAAAGTCTCTATCATTTACTTTTTAAAAATAATTTTTTTTCTTTTTTAAAGTTTGGCCTGGGAGAGACAGAGAGAGAAAGAGGGAGAAAATAAGAAAACAATTGGCCAGGTCCAGGACTGGAACCATGGTCTACCATATCGGAGTCTAGCACTTTAACCACCATGCCACCTGCCGGCCCTCTATCATTTACTTTTAAATAAATTCATCTCTTAAAATATCATTAATCGCCACCCTGCTGGCACAGTGATTAAGATACTAGACTCCCACACAGCAGACTGTGGTTTGAGTGCCAGACCTAGCAGCTTGAAATTCACACCAGGCATAATTGTATGTATGTCCAAAGTCCCAAGAGGTGAATGGAGAAGGGACTGCAGTGTGGTCAACCCTTCTGGGGGATGATTTTTCAGTCTTTCTGTTTCTCTGGAGAGCGTACACATCCTATAGCAAAAATCTCCCTTTAAAAAAAAAAAAAAAGTTGAACATCATCAGTCACGGCCAATGGTGATTCAAGTGTCAGACTTGGCAGCTTGCTCTTTTTCTGTCACTCTCTCTTTTTCTCTCTCTCATGAGCACACATGCCCTATAGCAAATCAATAGCAATAATTTTTTTTCTTCAGAGAGATTTTTACTGTAGGGCACGTGAGCTCACCAAAGAGACAAAAAGCGAAAAATCACCCCCCAGTGGGGTTGGCAACACCACAATTCCTTTTCTTCTGTTCTCCTCTTAGGATTTTGGGCACTCATGCACACACACCTGGCGTGCATTTTAAGCTGCCAGGTCCGAGACTTGAACCATGGTCGACTACATGGGAGTATAGTAACATAACCACTACGCCATCCACTGGTCCCAAAATTAAGTAATTCTTTAAAATATACTTATATTGTTAAAACTATTCTCTTAGAATTATTCTTAGAACCGCTCCTACAGTAACACATAATGCCAAGGGGCAAGAAGGACAAGGGGAAGATGGCTCCAGACCCTGCTGCCATGAAGCAGGAGGCTAAGAAGGTGGTCAATCCCGTTTGAGAAAAGCTCTAAGAATTTTGACATAGGACAGGACATTCAGCCCAAAAAGGACCTCACCCACTTCATCGAATGGCCCTGCTAAATCCAGCTGCAGCAGCAGAGAGCCATCCTCTACAAGCGGCTCAAAGTGCATCCTGTGATTAACCAGTTCACCCAGGCCCTGGACTGTGAGACAGTTACTCGGCTGCTTAAGCTGGCCCACAAGTACAGATCAGAGACAAAGCAGGAGAAGCAGCAGTAGCTGCTGGCCTGGGCTAAGAAGGCCCCTGGCAAAGGGGATGCCCCACCAAGAGGTCACCGGTTCCCCGGGCAGGGGTCAATACTGTTACCACCTTGGTGGAGAACAAGGCTCCACTGGTGGTGACTGCACATGATGTGGACCTCATCAAGCTGGTTGTTGTCCTGTGTGCCCTGTGTTGGAAGATGGGGGTTCCCTACTACATTATCAAGGGGAAAACCAGGTTGGGACGCCTGGTCCACAGGAAAAACCTGTACACCGTTGCCTTCACATAAATTAACTCGGAGGACAAAGGCACCCTGACAAAGGACCAATTACAATGACAGACAAAATGAGATCCACCGCCACTGGGGAGGCAATGTCCTGGGCCTGAAATCATGCCTCACAAAGCTGGAAAAGGCAAAAGATAAAGAAAAAGCTCGCCACCAAACTGGGCTAAGTGTACGCTGTTGAGTTTTCTGTACATAAAAATAACAAAACACTCTCCTTTGGCAAAAAAAATATTAATAATAATTATTATTAGAACCCACAGTACATTCTCCCAAACATCTCCAATGATAGTAAATTTTAGAAAACGGTAATAAATGACTCAAAATATGTATATTTTTTTAATTATTTTATTATTATTATTTCTAATATCTCTAGATAAATTTTTCTGAAATATTTGTGTGTGGATCCAACTTTCTTTTTTTTAAAAGAATTATTTTACTTAACTTTATTTATTATTATTATCATTATTATTTTCCAGTTTGATCAGAGAGAGACACAGAGAGAGAGAGAGGAAGTGAGAAAACGAGAAAGCAAGATGCCAGGTCCGAGACACGAACCATTGTTGGCCATGTGGGAGTCCAGCGCCTTTAACTACCATGCCACCTGCCGGCCCCTCAAAATATATTTTAAGTCCTTTGAGTAAGAGGAAGGAAGTTGCTTTGTGATGACATTTTTTATCTGAGAAAGTCTATCAAGTAATAAGACCGCTGTTTTATTATTATTTCTGGCAATTCAAAAGGAAAACTCTAATTATACTCTGAGCTATATAACTGTATTAATTACCTGCTCTGAGGGTGGGAACAGTAAACGGCAATGCATGTCTGGATTTTGAGTTCTGATAGGTTTACTTTAAAAAAAGGAGTGGGGAGGGGGACAAAAAAAGGTCTCAATAGTCACAACTTACTCTGCATCAGAGGATCAAAATGATATAATAAAGATCAGTAGGTCACCCTCCCTACCCAAAGTACAACACGAACACAGTACAAACTGATACACTTCAATTTAAAATGGTTGTCAAACTAAATTTAACATTTCTCTTCAGCCTACACTCACATGCCATTCTAAAAATATACCCTTTATATAAATCTCCTTAATTGAAAACTACTAACCAAATGTCTTCAAGAATTATTCCTTCTAATGTAGCACGTTTTCTGGACATTATTCTCTATATCTATACTGTACTTTGCACTTTTCCAAGCATTCTCATACCTGTAAGGCTGATAATCTGACTTCATAAATCTTTCCCCAATGCTTTTATTTAACTGAATGGCACTTAAAATAATTTTCTTTGCTGCAGAGAAAAAAAACACTAGAGACCTGTTTCTGTTCCATATTTCAGTTGTGTAATTTGATAGACTATACAATCTTGATTTTTCTTTACCTCTTAAAATGGGAATAATTACTGACACTATCTTACAGTAACATCTAAAGATCTATTACATTAGGGAATGCAAAAGCATTTCACAAAGTGTAAAGCACAATAAAAAAAAGTTGCTATTATTAAAAATTAGTAAGTAAATGCTCTTCAAATATGAAAATAAAAACTACAAAACCTGCAAATTTACTGGCAAGTATTCACCTGCCTACATTGCCAAATAAAATATATATTTTGGGGGGAGAGGGGAGAGGTTTTTGCTATAGGGTACATGCACTCACCAGAGACAGAAAGCGAGAAATAATCCCCTGGGGGATAGCCATGCCGCAATCCCTTCTCCTCCATTCTCCTCTCAGGATATTGGGCACGCACACACACACACTCAGCTTGAGTTTAAGCCACCGAGTCTGGGACTCAAACCGCAGTAGACTACATGGGAGTCCAATGACATAGCCATTATGCCAACTGCTAGTCCCGAATAAAACATATTTTAGGGTACTTAATATATGTGGATAAATTTTGGTACTCTTAAAAATTAGTATTTCTGGGACAAGCAGATGGCATAGTGGTCACATCCTGGACTCTCACATGGTAGACCACAGTTCAAGTCACAGATCTGGTGACTTGAAAATCACACCAGGAACATGTGCGTGCATGCCCAAGATCCAAGGAGGGGAATAGAGAAGGGACTGTGGCATGGCCATCCCCCTGGGAAGTGATTTCTCACTTTCCCTCTCATGTGTGTCTTTCCCACAAGCACACAGGCCCTCAGGCAAAAGTTTCTCCAAAAATATTTAGTATTTCTGTCTCAGAGAAGATAGTATTCAGGGCCAGTCAAGAATGGAGGAGAAGGGATTGTAGCATAGTGAGAAGGGGTGCTTTCTCACTTTCCCTCTCACTGTCTCTCTCAGGCGAGTGCAAAGGCAAATTTAAAACAACAACAGCAGCAATAGAAAAGGTAATATTCAAATTGCTCAAAAATAAATAGAAATAAAAAGGTTAAAAAGGTAGGCATTGAGAAATCTTGTTTTATAGAAAAATTTTCATTTAATCTTTGCTATAAAGCAAAGTGCCAAACTTATAACATTTAAAACCAAATACATTTGTTTACATCTGAACAATGATTTTACAAATAACACATTTTAAGAATCAAATCAAATGGCAATACTATTTCCTCTTTCTCCATAATATGAAAGTGTTATATCCATACTCCACCAAAACTTTTCTTTCTTTTCATAAATATTTTTGCTACAGGGTACATGTACTCACTAGGACAGACAAAGAAAAGAAACAAGAAATCACCCACTGAGGGATGGTGACACCTCGATCCCTTCTCATCCATTTCCCTTTTGGGATTTTGGGCACATATGTACACGTGCTCAGCTTGAGTTTCAAGCCACCAGGTCCAGGTCTTGAACCACAATTGGCCATGTAGGGTCTAGCACCTTAACCACTACACCACCTGCTGGCCCTGCCAAAACTTTTCTTAAAAAAAAAAAAAGTCTAAAGCTCTATCTAATTTTGCTAGTGAGATCTGTTTAATACCTTGTGTTATTTCCACAGCCCAATACAATCCCAGTTCTTTAATTCTTTCCTTACCCTCCTGATGATTCCGTGCTCTGTTGTCCCTGGTTATTATATGACTGCTGGCCATAAGAGCTCTGTTTTTGATTCTCATAACCACCATAAGACTGTGAATAACCTAAAGATTGGATACGTATACCATTTAGTGAAGGCTCCCATTTTGAAATCTTTAAAATAGCAAATTTAACAGACCAGTCTAACCTGATTGGTTTTGTCCATAACTGGAGTAACCGCCATAGTTCTGTCCATAAGACGAATCAGTTGTTTGCCCATAGCCCGAATAGCTCTGAAATTCAGGTAGAAAGCCAAGGTTTATCACCTACTTAAAACAAAATAACTATTTATAAGAAAATAATTTGTACTCCAACCTACTTGTGTTGCTTGTCCATAGCCTTGGTTGCTTTGATTCCCATAGGAAGAATAACTGTAAAAGACAAATTCAATACTTGAAAGAAATGTGCTAATTTAAAAAGTTAAATGAAGAACCCTGCCTCAATTTTCAACATTCAAATCAAATTCAAGTTTTTTCCTTGAGAAACTGTTAAACTATCTCTAGGTAAAAGGGAAACAAAAACTAAATGGCAAGAACCATGTCTGAAGCAAAAACATGACGTTTTTAAGCTGGCACTTCACTCACTACAGCTACATCTTAGCTACGTTTTGATAGATTAATTGCTTAAAGCCATTTGCCTTAGTTAGATGTCTTTAACTTCCTAGAAAAGGTACAGTGTAGCAATCAAAGTCCAGTTTAAATGCCTCAGCAATTAGAGGCATATATATCTCCTAAGTACCATCATAGAATGAAATTATATTATATCCCCAGTGTTGTAGGAAAGACTGGCACACAGTTCAATGAAGACTTGCTGACCAAGTATTTATTCATTAGTAAATTTACCTCTCTAGGACTTGAAAGTTCTTTAACTGTATAGCATGCAAGCTCTAACAAGTCAGAAACAAACTTCCTCAATGTGACCTCCTAATATCCAGAGAAAAAATAAAGCACTTACAAAAAACACACCTTTTTATTTTTTAGAGCTTTCAATTTTAGAGAACTCTTAAACTGTAAAAAATGTATTTCCCTGAATAAGCATTTACTAGATGCCTACCGGGATATAAGCACTACCTTAAGAGAAAAAGTCAAATCAGCTTTGTTTTCAAGAAGCTTAAAATTTGATGACAGTGAATATAGGAGTTTCTATCCTGAATATCTCACACTAAGCTGCAAAACATTTATAGTGTTACATTGAAGGCCATTATTTCTGGTACGTAAGAGAAGTCTACTACATGTACATACTCACATAAAAATAGGCCTTTCTTTTTATGATAAGTGTGGGAAGGACTCCAAAAAATACTAAACACATCTATTATAATGCTTCAAGAAAATCTGCCCTGAAAAAAACACATTAGCATATTTCGTACCATCAAAATAAAAAATCTTTTTCTCAGAACCTGTTATAGTTCAACTGCTTAAAACCTTTTAATAATTTCTTCTAAGAAACTTCCTGAAGAAAAACATCTTTACAATATCAACAGATCTGTTTTAATGCCTAGTTGATATCTATACTTAAGAATGTGGGCAGACTTCAAAAAAAATACAAAGCACTGGGACCAGCAGTTGGCATAATGGCTTTGTTGCTGGACTCCCATGTAGTCAACCACAGTTCAAGTCCTGGACCCAGTGGCTTAAACTCACGCCAGGCACGTGTGCATACGTGCCCAAGATCCCAAGAGGAGAATGGAGAAGAGACTGCAGCATAGCCATACCCCCTGGGGGGTGATTTCTCACTTTCTATCTCCCTGCCTCTCCGTCTTTAGAGGGCACACACACCCTACAGCAAAAACCTCTCCTCAAAAAAAAAAAAAAAAAACACACACACACAAAGTACTTATTTAAACAGGCCACCTCTTTCCCCTGTGACAGGTTAATACTTAATTATCTTATGACATCCAGACACAAGTCTCAATATAGAAGCCTGATTACATTCATCCCTTTTCTTCATTCTATCCTTTCATACTATTAAAATGTTACGTATACTTTACCTTTGCTGCTCACCCCCAGACTGACCGTAACTTCCAGAATCTAAAACACATAAAAAAATTTTTAAATCATATATAAAATTGTATTTCCCTCAAAGGCTGATTTTAGCTCATGTAAATGAAATGTGGTCAGAAAATGCCAAAACTAACTGGAGAAAGAAAAACTAGAAGTTAAGTACTGTGCAAGAAAAATATCTTTACAAATAGTTACTTGCTTCTTACAATAACTACATCTTTGAAAACTACTACTACACAAACGTGTGCTAATGATCACAAGAATCAAGTGAACAAATGTGAAACAATGAATATCCATCCATCAAAAACTCAAGGGTTGAGTTTTATTACTATAAATACAGAAAGACATCTGTTGAACTAATCAAGCCCCAAAAGGGAAAAGACATACACTCTGACAAGATAAATTCCCTAGATGACATTTACTTGTATATCCTCACCACTCCAAACATATCCTCTATACTGGATTCCTGTGGCTGTCAGCACCAACAAAAGGGTTCCCAAAGACTTACTAAATGGAGCTTAGCTACTGGATTAATTCTTTTTAATTCTGACAAGGTTTTGGGGACACAGTCAATTGTTATAACAAGTCAGCAATACGTGCTTTTACTATTCATCTTAACAATAAAAACTGCCAAGGAAGACATGAATTGAGAAATATGTCCACAAAGAAAGGAAGGAAAGAAGGAAGAAAAATAATCTGGTCTATGAACTTTTCTCAGCTTTTCAAAATGCTAGTCATCTCAGCCAGCCTCTTAGCCTAATAATTAAAGGTGCTGGGTATGAATCCTGCCCTTGGAGGCTCGAAAAACACACTGGGCATATGTGTATGTTTGCCCCAAATCCTGAAAGGATAGAGAAAATGGAGAAGGGATTACAGTGTAACCACACCCCCACTAAGGGGTGCTTTCTCTCTCTCCCAGTCTCTGCCAAAGGTACAAGCCCTCTGCCCCTCCCCCCAAAAAAAACAGGCCAGTCATATAAAAAATTGTTCAAGAGGTTTACCTAGCCTTTAGGCTTCAACACTAAGTCAAACGAACAACCTACATTTATTTGTGATGATTAAAAGCAACTTTACATAAAATATTCTTGTAATTGTTAAAAAAAAAAAAACTCCACATCTCAAACTGCTGACCATTAGCCTCAACCTCACTCCATATGAAACAAAATCATTTATGTCAAACAGTTCTGAAACCCACCAAAAATCAAGCAAGAGTAGTAATATTTTCCATTCAATTTATATAAAGCTACAATATTAAAACATTGCCCCCATTTGTATTTAACGTCAAATTTTCCACTTGTCTTTCCACTTAGAAGGTTTTTCTTCATCTTTTAATTTTAAAAACATTAAATATAAGGGACTAGCTGGTGGTACAATGGTCAATGCAGCCAGATCTCACTGTACTACTAAATCCAAGATATGGCAGCTTGCGAAACACACCAGGTACATGTGCGTATATGCCTAAAATCCTAAGAGGAGAATGGAGAAGGGACTGCTGTGTGGTCATCTCTCCTGAGTCCTTTCTCTTTTGTTCATTCTCTCTCTCTGGCAAGTACACACATCCTAAAGCAAAAATAAATAAATAAATAAATATTAAATCCTAACAAACTTTTTCTATGAATGTGGAGAAAACAAGCCTACCTGAAATAAAATTGTACATAAATGCCATGTCAATGATGCAAAAGAAATTAGCTTCACCCAAAATAGAGACTGAAAAGGGTTATGAGGAAAAATTAATAAAACTTAAGACATCTGGGATGTATGAATCCTTAGTTAAATTATATCCCAAGCCATGAACGTAGATAGTTTCTCTCAGTGACAGAGCCTTGTCTAAAATTCCAGCGTATTTCCTTTTAGCTCAGGTAAAACTAAAGTATACAGCACTTGGTCATGGGATTCCTTTTTTTTTTTTTAAGAGAGATTTTTGCTATAGGGCACATGCGCTCACCAGAGAGAGACAGAAAGCAAGACATCACCCCCCAGGTTTGTGGCCATGCCACAATCCCTTCTCCTTCATTCTCCTCTTGGGATTTTGGGCACGCACACAGCGGCATCGAGTTTAAAGCTGCCAGATCCGGGACTTGAACCAGTCAGCCATGTGGGACTCCAGTAACATAACCATTACACCATCTGCTGGCACAATGTGATTCTATCTAAAAAAATATATACTGGTTCGTTGGAAAAGTCATGATGCGTTTTTCTATCCAAAAACACATCATGACTTTTCCAACAACCCAACAGTAAGTATTAAGGTCCTTAACTTTAATATTGTCACTTCAGTCCTTTTAAGCTGTAAATGACTTCTGTAGCTAGTTGACTTTAAAACTCCGATAATAGTGTCAGCAGATGGAGAGGTTAAGGCAGCTGAATCACACACTGGCCAACTGCAGTGAGAACCCCAAACCTACCAGCTTCAAAAACACTCCAGGCACATACCATACCGGGTGCATGTGCACGAGTGCCCAAAATGCAGATAGGAGAATGGAGAGGAAGGACTGCACCATGCCCACCCCTCCCCAGGGGGTGGGGGGTGTTGTTTTATAATTTTCTGTCTCCATCTCTCTGAGTGCACACAACCTATAGCAAAAATTTCAAAAATCGAAGATAAAGAAATAAGCAAACTGACCAATACACGTGGCCATTAATATAAATATCTGAGTGATAAATACAGATTTTTTTTCTTTGAGGGGAGGGTTTTGTTTTGTTTTGTTTTGTTTTTCTTGCTATAGGGCACATGCGCTTGCCAGAGACAGAGAGATAGAAAGCAAGAAATCACCCCCAGCGGGATGGCCACACCGCAATCCCTTCTCCTCTATTCTCCTCTCGGGATCTTGGGCACACACGCACATGTGCCTGGTGTGAGTTTTACGACACCAGGTCCGGGACGCGAACCGTGGTCAACTACATGGGAGTCCAACGACATAGCCATTACGCTAACTGCTGGTCCCCAGATGTTTTGTATTCATCGAAGAAAACCAGGGCCAGGGCTAGGGCCAGTCAAGTGGCAAGGTGGTTACGGCAACTGGATCTCATATAACTATACAGTTATATGAACCCAGTGGCATGAGTAACACACTGGGCACACATGTATGCATGTCCAAAATCTTTTTTTTATTATTACTTAACTTTATTTGCTTATTTATTTATTTATAATTTGATCAGAAAAGGACAGAGAGAGAGAGAGAAAGCAAGCTGCCAGGTCTGGGACTTTAACAGTGGTAGGCCATATGGGAGTCCAGTGCCCTTAACCACCACAGCACCTGCCAGCCCCAGCATGTCCAATATCTTGAGACTGTTGAATGGGTATCCCCAAGTGATTTTTCTTTCTTTCTCCCTTCCCTCCCCAGCCAGCTTATGTGCCCTATAGCAAATAAAAAATTTTTAAAAAAAGAAAAACTAAGGTCGTGACCCAGTAGTTAAGGAAGCCAGATCCTACACAGTCAACTGTGGTTTGATTCCTGGCCTGGCAACTGAAAAACATATCAGGTGTACCTGCCCAAAATCCCAAGAGGATGGAGAATTAGAGAAGGAATTGAAGCATGACCAAACTCCACTGTGGAGTTCTTTCTCCCTTTCTCTCTCACCCTCTCCATCTCTGGCAACCATTCTCTGGCAATTTAAAAAAGAAAAAAAAAAAAAAGCGAGAGACCAAGCGAGCGAGCCAAAGAAAGTTTATAAACATTTTTAAGCTTTCAAACTTCTCATAACAATTACTTGACACTTGAGTCTTGTGACTGGGCCCATGAATTATTGAGAGGTTTTGAATTTCCAAATGTGGAGTGTCTTTTCTAATATTCCATTAGTGAAAAAAGTTATTTTCCTTATTAATTCTTGGTATTCATTAGGATTTGCTGTTTTGTTTTTCTCCACTTAGCACATGACCCTATGTACTTGTAAAAAATTATATTATTTTCGACCAGAGCAGTTGAAAATATATTATTTGTTCATCGGCATGTCTGAAAGATGCTACCCAAAGGAAAAAGTGGTTCTGGAAACAGGTGTAAAGAGGGAGCAGCATTTGAGAGTGATAGTGCTAACAAGAAGGCTCAGAGTCCCAAAGATGTTGGCAAAGCAATAAAGGTCAGACACATTCTATGTAAAAAACACGGCAAAATTATAGAAGCCAAGGAAAAGTGAAAGTCTAGAATGAGATTCAATGAAATGGCTACACAATTTAGTGAAGATAAAAGCCAGGCAAGGAGTTGACTTGGGTTGGATGACCAGAGGGCCCATGGTGGGACCATTTAAAGATGAGCATTTGCCATGCCTGTCAGTAGGATGGATAAGCCTGTGTTTATAGACTCAGCAATTAAGACAAAATCTGGTATCATATTATTATCGTTGAAGGGAGAAAATAAAACTGAAAGAATGGAAAAAAATTACACACTTTCTTTATTATTATCATTTTTTAATATAGGGAATGTGTGCCTGCTCAAGAGAAAAAGAGATAAAGTGAGAAAGCACCCCCTGGGGAAATGGCCATATGGCAATGCCTTCTCCATTCTCCTCTAAGGATTCTGAGCACAACACCCACAAAGATGGTATGTTTTTCAAGCCACCAGGTCTGGGACTGGAATCAGTCAGTCACACGGGAATAGAGCAGCTTTAACTACCATGCCACCAGTTGGCCCAGAATTCTAAGTATTTTCTAAATTTTAAGTGAATTCTATCAGTCTGTAAAATTATGCTCACCAGTTGTATCATTCATATTCTATAATGTATGGTCATACTGTTTACTTGACCTATTACTTACACAGAGAGGTATGTTTTTTCTTTTAAGATTTTATTTAACTTTATTTATTTATTCATTCATTTTAACTTGACTAGAGAAAGACAGAGCGAGAGGGAAAATGAGAAAGCAAGTCATCAGGTCCAGGACTTGAACTGCAGTTGGCCATGTGGGAGTCCAGCGCCATTAACCATCACACCACCTGTTGGCCCCCAAAGAGGTATGTTTTGGGAACCAGCAGTTAGCGTAATGGCTATGTCGCTGGACTCCCACGTAGTCGACCGCGGTTCGCGTCCTGGGC